GATGGATTACGAGAACTTTCAAATCCAGGGATCCCATCACAATGATTGTATTCTTCAAATCACTTGTGTTGTCCCGTCTTGAGTACTGCTCAGTACTCACTTTTCCCTTCAGAGTAGGAGAGATTGCTGAAATAGAGGGAATACAGAGAACATATACGGATATACGGCATACATAGACGCGATAAAGCACCTAAATTATTGGGATCGTCTCAAAGGTTTCCAAATGTACTCACTATAGAGAGGAGACGAGATAGATATAAAATAATATATACCTGGAAAATACTGAAGGGCCAAGTACCAAATCTACACAGTAAAATAACAACATACTGGAGTGAACGATATGGAAGAAAATGCAGAATAGAACCACAGTAGAGCAGAGGTGCCATAGGCACAATCACAGAGCACTGTATAAACATCAGAGGTCCGCGGTTGTTCAACATCCTCCCAGCGACTATAAGAAAAATTGCTGGAACAACCGAAGACATCTTCAAGAGAAAACAAGATAGTTTTTCCAAGGAGTGTCGGACCAACCGGGCTGTGGTGGGTATGTGGGCCTGCGGGCCGCTCCAAGCAACAGCATGGTGGACCAAGCTCTCATAAGTCAAGCCTGGCCTCAGGCCGGGCTTGGAGAGTAGAAGAACTCCCAGAGCCCCATCAACCAGGTATGTTCGGAAAGTAGCTAATAGCAATAACTGGAAAAATTGGGTGCAGCTAACCCCAAACATCTGGCCTCCTACCTCGAAAATACATACAAATAGGTACTTCCATTTAAAGATACAGATCTATATTTAAACTTTTGTATATACAGTATACGCGTTGCCTTCATGTGATTTTCTTAAGAATAATTGTTCATGTATATAATTTTGTTCTTTCTCTCATTAACAATGCCGTGAATTTCACAAATATCTTTATCATTTTAAGAGTTTTCTTTTTTAAATTAATACAATACATTTTTTTTTTGTATTTTACCCCAAGGGGCAAGTTTATTTGGCAGTGCCACTCATCCTGTGAGTGGACATACCGCCATAGCAGCATGTACAACCCCCCCCCCCCCCCCAATAGGAAGAAAACCCGCTGGGTTGTTCATCCTGTCACTGGTACCCAGACACAGCTGGGACTTGCTTAACTGTCTCAAGTGAACAGCTTATCAAACAAGAAGATTAACATCTGTCAACCCTTAAAATCTTATGTTACCTTGAGGGTGCAAAATGAGGAAATCTTTAGAGAACAGTATCAATATTTGACAGATAGTATTTTCCTAACTCAAACAATGTCGGGTTTATTATGCTACACACTTTTCTGATGTCTCTTAGAGGTTCACATTCTCTCAGGTAATGGTCAAGGCGATTCAGTACATTGTTGTATCCATTTAATAAAACAGTGCTTCAGCACGGAAATAAAATTCAATTTATATCAGGAATATTTGCAATATTGTGCTGGGTTTGTTACATTAGAAGATGGACATTCCATTCAGGTAGTGTAAAATAATTATTGTCAACAGTTCTGCTCGAACGACCCAGACACGTTCGTGGAGGCGTGCAGGCTGGCGGCGCCCTTCTGCGACGCCGTTGACCTTAACCTCGGCTGCCCACAAGCCATCGCCCGCCGGGGACACTACGGGGCCTTCCTCCAGGATGAGTGGGACCTGGTCCGCACTATGAGTAAGTTATTTGAATGCATCTTGAGCAAATAACTTGCCCTGCATTGCTGCTGTATGGTGTGGTGCATAGTGCTGGCGAGTGACATGATCAGGCGTGATCAACCATAAGTTGTCTGGCATACACCATTGCCAAGGTGAGGTATGAGTTAGCTACCTGTGTTGACCAATGGTAAGTGGCCTAGCACAGACCATGAACAGTTGACCTGTTGCAGACAGGTCTGGTACGGACCTGGTACAGACCAAGAGTAATTGGCTTCGTGCATGCACCGTTTATTAACAAATACAATACCCCAAGTAAGTGGTATTTGCAATTACTGTATAAAATAATTGTAGGTTACGACCTCTCTGAAAAGTGCCTTTGAAGTCAGTGTGGAACGAAACATTGAGAATCGTAAACAGATGAAGCAATTATTACCACAAATATCTTGGTTCATTCTTGTTTCAATCCATAAACACATTGTCAAATATACAGAGGCAGTGATGTGGTGGAGGCTGACTCCATACACAGTTTCAAATGTAGATATGACAGAGCTCAGTAGGCACAGGAATCTGTACACCAGTTGATTGACGATTGAGAGGAGGGACCAAAGAGCCAGAGCTCAACCCCCGCAAGCACAACTAGGGGAGTACAGAGTGGTCAAGATTATTTTTACACAGTGAGCTGGTGTATCCCGGAGAACTGGCTGCCTCTAAGAGAACTGGTGGCCCCAAGAGAAATGGTGGTCCAAAGAGAATTGGTGGTCCACAAGATAACTTATGCCCCCCCCCCCCCCAAGAGAAATGATCGACCCAAGAGTACTGATGGCCCAAGAGAACTGATGCCCCAAGAGAACTGATGCCCCAAGAGAACTGATGCCCCAAGAGAACTGATGGTCCCAAGAGAACTGGTGCTCCAGGAGAACTGATGGCCCCAAGAGAACTGATCCCCAAGAGAACTGATTCCCCAAGAGAACTGATTCCCCAAGAGAACTGATGGTCCCAAGAGAACTGATGGTCCCAAGACAACTGATGGTCCCAAGAGAACTGGTTCCCCAAGAGAACTGATGGCCCAAGAGAACTGGTGCTCCAGGATAACTGATGGTCCCAAGAAAACTGATCCCCAAGAGAACTGGTTCCCCAAGAGAACTGATGGCCCCAAGAGAACTGATGCCCCAAGAGAACTGATGGTCACAAGAGAACTGATGGTCACAGGAGAACTGATGGCCCCAAGAGAACTGATGGTCCCAAGAGAACTGATGACCCCAAGAGAACTGATGGCTCCAAGAGAACTGATGGCTCCAAGAGAACTGATGGTCCCAAGAGAACTGATGGCCCCAAGAGAACTGATGGCCCCAAGAGAACTGATGGCCCCAAGAGAACTGATGGCTCCAAGAGAACTGATGGTCCCAAGAGAACTGATGGCCCCAAGAGAACTGATGGCTCCAAGAGAACTGATGGCTCCAAGAGAACTGATGGCTCCAAGAGAACTGATGGTCCCAAGAGAACTGATGGCTCCAAGAGAACTGATGGCCCCAAGAGAACTGATGGCTCCAAGAGAACTGATGGCTCCAAGAGAACTGATGGTCCCAAGAGAACTGATGACCCCAAGAGAACTGATGGCTCCAAGAGAACTGATGGTCCCAAGAGAACTGATGGCTCCAAGAGAACTGATGGCCCCAAGAGAACTGATGGTCCCAAGAGAACTGATGACCCCAAGAGAACTGATGGCCCCAAGAGAACTGATGGCTCCAAGAGAACTGATGGCTCCAAGAGAACTGATGGTCCCAAGAGAACTGATGGCCACAAGAGAACTGATGGCCCCAAGAGAACTGATGGCCCCAAGAGAACTGATGGTCCCAAGAGAACTGATGGCCCCAAGAGAACTGATGGCTCCAAGAGAACTGATGGCCCCAAGAGAACTGATGGCTCCAAGAGAACTGATGGCTCCAAGAGAACTGATGGTCCCAAGAGAACTGATGACCCCAAGAGAACTGATGGCCCCAAGAGAACTGATGGCTCCAAGAGAACTGATGGCTCCAAGAGAACTGATGGCCCCAAGAGAACTGATGGCTCCAAGAGAACTGATGGCTCCAAGAGAACTGATGGTCCCAAGAGAACTGATGGCTCCAAGAGAACTGATGGCCCCAAGAGAACTGATGGCTCCAAGAGAACTGATGGCCCCAAGAGAACTGATGGTCCCAAGAGAACTGATGACCCCAAGAGAACTGATGGCTCCAAGAGAACTGATGGTCCCAAGAGAACTGATGGCTCCAAGAGAACTGATGGCCCCAAGAGAACCGATGGTCCCAAGAGAACTGATGGCTCCAAGAGAACTGATGGCCCCAAGAGAACTGATGGCTCCAAGAGAACTGATGGCCCCAAGAGAACTGATGGTCCCAAGAGAACTGATGGCCACAAGAGAACTGATGGCCCCAAGAGAACTGATGGCCCCAAGAGAACTGATGGTCCCAAGAGAACTGATGGCCCCAAGAGAACTGATGGCTCCAAGAGAACTGATGGCCACAAGAGAACTGATGGCCCCAAGAGAACTGATGGTCCCAAGAGAACTGATGGTCCCAAGAGAACTGATCCCCAAGAGAACTGATGGTCACAAGAGAACTGATGGTCCCAAGAGAACTGATAGTTCCCAAGAGAACTCATTCCCAAAGAGAACTAATATCCCCAAGAGAACTGATGGTCCCAATGGAACTGACGCCCCCAAGAAAACTAATGGTCCCAAGAGAACTAATGGTCTCAAGAGAATTGTTGACCCCAAGAGAACTGCTGGCCCCAAGAGAACTGATGGCCCTAAGAGAATTGATGGTCCCAAGAGAACTGATAGTCTCCCAAGAGAACTGAAGGGCCCAAGAGAACTGAAGGGCCCAAGAGAACTGATGGCTTCAAGAGAACTGATGGTCCCTAAGAGAACTGATGATCCCCAAGAGAATTGATGGTCCCCAAGAGAACTGATGACCCCAAGAGAACTGGTCCCCCAAGAGAACTGATGCCCCAAGAGAACTGATGCCTCAAGAGAACTGATGCCCCAAGAGAACTGATGCCCCAAGAGAACTGATGCCCCAAGAGAACTGATGCCTCAAGAGAACTGATGCCCCAAGAGAACTGATGCCCCAAGATAACTGGTGCCCCAAAGAGAACTGATGCCCTAAGATAACTGGTGCCCCCAAGAGAACTGATGCCCCAAGATAACTGGTACCCCCCCCCCCCCAAGATACCTGGTGTGCCAAGATAACTGGTGCCCCCAAGATAACTGGTGCCCCAAGAGAACTGGTGCCCCAAGAAAACTGGTGCCCCAAGAGAACTTTTGCCCCAAGATACCTGGTACCCCAAGATAACTGGTGCCTCCAAGATAACTGGTGCCCCAAGAGAACTGGTGCCCCAAGAGAACTGGTGCCCCAAGATAACTGGTGCCTCCAAGATACCTGGTGCCCCAAGAGAACAGGTACTGCCAAGATAACTGGTGCCTCCAAGATAACTGGTGCCCCAAGAGAACTGGTACTGCCAAGATAACTGGTGCCCCAAGAGAACTGGTTGCCCACAAGAGAACTGGTTGCCCCCAAGAAAACTAGTTGCCGAAAGAGAACTGGTGCCCCAAGAGAACTGGTGCCCCCCGAGAGAACTGGTGCCCCCCGAAAGAACTGATGCCCCCAAGAGAACTAGTTGCCCCCCAAGAGAACCAGTTGCCCCCCAAGAGAACCAGTTGCCCCTGAAAGAACCGGTTGCCCCAAGAGAACTGGCGCCTCCAAGAGAACTGATTGCCCCAAAGAGAACTGGTTGCCCCTAAGGAAATCGGTAGGCCCGAAGAGAACTGGTAGCTCCAAGAGAATTGTTAACCCCTAAGAGAACTGGCAACCTGTAAAAGAACTAGTGGTTCTCAAGAGAACTGATAGCCCCAAAGAGAACTGTTAGCCCCCAAGAGATCCAATGACCCCAAGAAATCTGGTGGGCCTCCAAGATTTCTCTTGGCGACCACCAGATTTCACCAAATATCATTTTGGTGAAATCAAAATTTCAAAAACAGTCTATGAATAACACCCCCAGATCTTGGGGTTACCCCAACATCTGGTAGACCCCAAGATTGGTGGTCTCAAAAAGAACTAGTGGTCCACAAGAAAACTGGTAGCCCCTAAGAAAACTGGTAATCCCCCAAGAGAACTGGTGTCCTCAAGATAACTGATAGCCCTCAAGAGATCTTATAACTCGCAAGAAAACTGCCAACCCCCAAGAGAACTGATACCCTCAAATAGACCTGGTACCCCCTAATAGTACTGATATCCCCCTAATAGAACTGGTACCTCTCTAATAGAACTGGTAGCCTCCCATGAGAACTAATGACAAAGTATGCCAAACTTTTAATGTAACTTAAATGTTTGAATGAGTGCTCTGATGATGGTGTTGACCATCATTACCAGCGGCCATAAGGCAGTGTCAGATGTCAGTTGCACTATTTAGGTTGGTTAATAAAGAGAGAGGGGACCATTTTGATACACTTGTCTCTGATGAGAATAGTCCCTTTGAATCAAGGTGTGAAATTCCAATATCACACTTAAATGTGAACTGTAACAAAAGTAACATTAAAGGGCCCTTAACTGCTGAAACCTTAATGCTGAAATATTTGCAATAAATACTTTTATATGAATTGAATATTGAATTTCACATTGTTGAGTGTGAGTATAACAAATTCTTATTGTCTGAAATGATGGAGTAGTCTAACTTCTCTCTCCCTCTTGTCACAGTCGAACGTGCATCAACAGAGGTTGATGTGGCTATCACAGCAAAAATCCGGGTGTTTGAGGACAAGATTAGGACTGTAGAATATGCCAAGATGCTGGAGCGTGCTGGTGCCTCACTTCTCACTGTGCATGGCCGCACCAGGGACCAGAAGGGACCGCTCACAGGCCTTGCCTCCTGGCCACATATTAAAGCGGTCAAGTTAGTAAGCTCATTGTTAACCCCATTCATGTTGCAGCATCACTTGACATATTATCATGGTTAATTTACCTATACTGTATAATTTAATTTAATATCATGGTTAATGCCATGTACAATATTGCTTAAGATCTCTATGGGGGTTCTGCTAATTTGTACTGGTTACTTTTCTTAGTGTACATCCAAATGTGTTGCTTCCATTGTATACTTTATTACCAAAAGGATATGGTCACTGTTATCCAAGGGAGGAAGGTACTGAATATCAAATATCTCTTCCTCTTTCTTGGTGAACATCAAATCCAACATTGAGAGAATATCCCCTTCCCTTATCCTCGCAGCTTGTTTAACATGTTGATACATGAATGTTTCCAGGATAAGGTTTGCGAATCTACAGGTCCAAAAGTTCTATGTTCTAGCTTCATTTTCCTCAGTCTATGGATTTCAAGCTGAAGTCCTCGACTACCAACAGCGTGATCTATCTTTATCCACTCTCGCTAAAATCCCTCTCATTGTTGTTATGAGACCCTTTCATTTATTATCCAGCTTCTCTTTGTGCATATTATTATTATTTTCTTATTATTTATTTATTATTTATATACAAGAAGGTACATTTGGGTTTGTGAGAATACATAGCATGGTATTTACATTTTTGTAAAGCCACTAATACGCGCAGCGTTTCGGGCAGGTCCTTAACCCTTAAATGGCGCATAGCTATATACCATTTGACACCCACAGGCGCATACAAAAAAAAAAAAAAAAAAAAAAATAATTCTTCCTAACCTCTTAAGTCGTGTTCCTCGATCACGGGAAAAATAAAAAAAAATTCAATTGTACTTACCGGTGACGTAATTGAGCCGACAAGATGGGTGATGACGTTACAGTTTCCATGTTCGCTCATGCACGGTGCGTCCCGGAGGCTTCGCGCGCGGTCTTCAAGCAGCCAGAGTTGCCACGAATTTATTTTCGCATCATTATTTACAGTGTCTAGGCGTGTATTCTTTGCATTATTTGTCACTAATTGTGTTGCACATAATGTTACTTCACAGTTATTGTCAATATATGTTGCATACATCGAGTATACACATGCGCACACAAACGTTTTCCATTACAGCATTATATTATGGACAGTAATCACAATGTTCATTATTTTATATGTACACACTAGCATGCACTATGTACAGGTTTTTGCACTATTATTGCACATTTAGAAGTCTTGGAGTGAGTGGTAGTCTTTGAAGCAGTCGACAGCACACAATGCAATTCCACACCCTTCACACCATGTTACGTTTCTGTTCTCTTCGTTTTGTTGTTTTACATACTAGGCATGCAGGTTGGCCTATTGCACGCTTTCCACCTGGTGGCAAATTCTTTAGTCTGTGTTGCTGAAAGGCATCTATGTGAGCGAGCCTGGGTGTTGCAGCATGCTGCAACACTGGGTTCATGATTGGTCTTCGTATGCCAGGGACTTCTTGACCAAACTTTGCTAATAACTGTGTTGCAAGTGTAAAAGCAAATGAACGGAAAATAGGTTTACGTCCAGTTTTCACCAGATACAAATTATAGCAGTTCAACATGCTCATGTCAACAAGATGGAAAAGCACTTTTTTCGTCCATTTCAATGTTTTCCGCACACACTCGATTGTGCCAATCATCATGTCAGCCTTATCAATCAAACGCATGTTGAGATTGTAGTCAAGAACACAATCTGGCTTATATACTAGTTCTCTCGATACACGGTGCACCTTGCCACTGTTCAACATTGTACCCTCATGAACGGTTGTCAGCATGTTCACTTCTCTCTTGTCTTTCCACCGTACTGAGAGTATTTGATCACATTTCCGTACCTGGCACTCACCAACTGCAAGTCCACCGCCAAACACTGGCATTTCCCTTCTTCGTGCCTTTACTGTGCCAACCAACCCGGTTCTATTTTCAATCAAGAACCTAGCTAGCAATGGACTTGTGTAGTAATTACCTGTGTATAGGATGTGGCCCTTGTTCATCCATGTTGCCATCAGTGACTTCACCACACTACCAGAGAAACCATGTTCGTCATTACCAGGAATGTCTACAGCGCTAGCTGAATACAGAATCATGTGTAACATGTATCCTATTTCACAGTCACACAGTACAAAGAATTTCAATCCAAATCTGTTTCGTTTAGAGGGAATATACTGTTTGAATGAAACACGTCCTTTGAAAAGTGCAAGGGATTCGTCAATCACCAGCTTCTGTGCTGGTACGTAAAAATCTCTGAATTTTTCAATCACTTCATTCACATAGTGCCTCACTCGCCAAAATCTATCATTCTTTGTCCGGTCCTCATTACATGCAAAATGCAGACACCTGAGGAGTATCTGAAATCTGTCTTGGGACATATATTTCCCAAAGAAAGGTGTTGGAATAGTCAGATCTTTGCTCCAGTAATCTGTGAGAGCATGTTTGACAGTGTTTCATCAACATACATATCGCTAGAAACACATACATTTCACCTACATTGGTGGTTTTTCCAACATTGCAATTGTGAAAATTCCGTTATCTCTCTTCTAATGAGATGAGCCGCATGAAGGTTCGTTTGGTGTACAATATATTCCATGAGCGGCTCATCATAGAATGCTGTAAAATAATCACATTCACTCATATCCTCTCCATTATCAGGGGAAAAGCTCTGTAATCCCAATGTCTTTATTGTCAAAGGCAAGAATTCAGGGAATAAAACCAGCACTATCACTCCACACTAGTACACCTGGTGTCCTGCGAGACGCAGGGGACGCAACAGGGGCACTACGGCGAGGAAGCGATGCACCCCGTGGACCAGGAGCTGAAGCCCGTCTATGCACAGTATGGCCGCTACGTGCACGTGAGGTAGAGGCACGTGAACATGAGGCTCTTGGTGTCTCATCTTTTTCCATGCGGTGGCGCTTGGCTGGGCGAGACACTGCTGATGCGACAAAATCTCGCCCAGTAACACCACTAATACTGACACCAGGCTCGATAACACTATGTTCTGATTCCACTTCACTAAAACCAGAAAAAGAGTCACCTTCCTCTGACTCGTCACCTAAAATATCCTCAGACTGTAAATAAGCTCAGGAACTGTGTGGTCGAGGGTGAATTGGGATAGACACTGGGCGAGGTGGCATGGGTGAGCGTATAGGCCTCGCCATGGGAGGCGGCTGTATCTCATTTTCACTGTCCATGCTATCATCGGTCAATTGTGTGTAGTCTTTATCAATATCAGTCATCAAAGTGTTATAATGGAAGGAGACTCCCCTTCCAAACAGTAACACCTCTCCTCCTCCCTCCTCCTCACATCTTCCATACACCAACAGCAGCCCTCAGCAAGGGTAAGTAATAACTTGAACATAGTTTTGTAGGTTTATTTAGATGAATTAGGTATAAAAATTTAGGTTGATGTGGGGTTTTTGGGGTAGTCAGGAATGGATTAATTCATTTCCCATTATTTCTTATGGGGAAATTAGCTTCGGAATATGAGCCATCTCCAGGAACGAATTAAACTCTTAAACTGAGGTACCCCTGTATATAGAAATACTGAGATAAGGACTATTCCTGAAGAAATAGCTTGGATGTGTCACAATGGAAAGATTGATGATATTCTGGAGAGATATAAGAACTTTGCACCAAGATTGTAACTTTGTTTTTATTTGTCTGAATGCCTATTTCTAGCCTCTTTATTTCTACTTATGTCTATGTACTTAATCATAAAAGTATTTGTGTGCATGTTTGTTAACATAATGTATGTGTACAGGAAGAACTGCATGTTTATCTAATATATTGCTTGTTTGTGATATGTGTATATATGAACACCGTGTACTATATAGGGTGAGAATAGCTTGAGCTATCTCATTCCTTTGTGTGTGTATTTATACCTCAATAAACTTATTTGAATTTAAATTTCAAAATGGGTAGTACATGCTGAAACAGCTCACAGCACCACTGTGCAGTTTGTAGCCATCTTGAGGTTATCTTGAGATGATTTCGGGGCTTTTAGTGTCCCCGCGGCCTGGTCCTCAACCAGGCCTCCACCCCCAGGAAGTAGCCCGTGACAGCTGACTAACACCCAGGTACCTATTTTACTGCTAGGTAACAGGGGCATAGGGTGAAAGAAACTTTGCCCATTGTTTCTCGCCGGCGCCCGGGATTGAACCCAGAACGACAGGATCACAAGTCCAGCGTGCTGTCCGCTCGGCCGACCAGCTCCCGCCGGTCGGCCAAGCGGGAACCGGAGCCATAGTATCACTTAATAATGACAAAATAAATAATGGATTATTTTGTGATGAAGAACTAGTGGAACGTAAATATAAGAGCCCAAGAAACAGTAGAAATATCCAAAATACATGTCCATGCCACTGAAAATTTCCAAATTTTCCATCCAAAACTGTGCAAAATTTCACTAAACAAGAAGGAATGTTTTAACAGAGAGGGCCTATATATTACAGTATTGTGATTTCTCTGTGTATTGAAGTCAGAGGTAGCACTATTTGGTTGACAGCCCGTGTGCATGGGGAAACTGTGTGAAACCCCAGTTAGTCTTCAGTGGAAGCCTAGAGATCCTCATGAGGGCAGTAGCACTCCAGGTTGCAATTCTGATACCAGGTCTTGGTACAGTTGACTAGAGTGCGTCTGGGAACCTCCAGCGCATAGGTTTGAATCTTCATCAAGGCCCTTGTGAATTTATTCATTGTGATCAGTGATATCTGAACCTTGTACATTGACAAAATAGCACTAGAGATTTGCAATCAGGATGATAAACTAATAATCGTAAATGCATACAGTCCACTGCCATGCACTCACTAAAAACCAAAGCTGGGAACATCAGTGAAATCCCATCCATTGTATACAAAAGCGCCTCCCATGCCCTTGCGCCACCCATAGCTCTGCTGTTCAACAAAGCAAGAGAAGCAAGACATGGGTTGACATTTAGGGGGTAAGTTAGGTTACATGGAGTTAATTAGGTAGTACTTGGTTTTGCTCTTAAACTGGTTGAGAAAGGTACAGCCTTTGACATGATTCGGGAGGTCATTCCACATTCTGGGTCTCTTGATTTGTAGAGCACTTCTAATTTGGTTACACACAGCCAAATTGTGTAACAGGAAGAGGTCTTGGACACAAATTTGTTCCATGCTAAATGTAGAGGAATCAGCTGAGTATTCCTCAAAAAAATAAGTTGCCTCAGCTTATAAGGTAAATAAAATAAGCGTTTCTCAAATAAGTAGCTGCCTCACCTCACAGCCTTACTGCTACATAGCCTTCCTGGCATGGTGCCTTCTTTTGATAATTACTTGTTCAGCACCCAAGTTGTATAACAGGAAGAGGTCTTGGATCCCTACTTCCCTCTCTCTTTTTTAATAGTCCATATAGTCATAATTATAACTTTAAGCATTCAATGAATAAAGTTTTTGACATTTTAACCCTTCTTACCTAACATCATTTGTGCAGTATATTTTTAATTTATGTCTCACCCAGATTTAATTCAAAAATAAAACCACCCTAAATAAATTAGAAATGGGTATGTATAGCTAAGGTACACCCTTACTACTAGGTGAACAGGGGCTTTTGGTGATAGTAAATTATCCCATCAGGCAGGTCTCGTCACCTTCTCTCATATTTCATGTTCACCAGTGTTTATTTACTTAATAACTATGGGTATAATATCTTGCTATTATAAAACTAATTCTAATATCATAAAAGACATATTTACTCAAAGTTTCAAGCAGAGAATGCTTATATAACTAACATGAAGGACTCCTCTTCACGAGATTCAACCTGGTAGATGGCACATAGAATGCTTCCAACCACATGGGGGTTTCTATAGGCCACTGCTCCTTGCGCCTCTCTGAAGGGGCCGTGTTTTGGCTTGTGGTCCTCGGTAGGCTAGAACTCCATCAAATTGAATGATGCCATGGTCTAATACATACATTTATAATGCATAGTCCATCAGGGACCGAACAGTGCTTATGTATAACATCTGCAAGATAGGTACCCAACAGTGGGACTTAAAACTCCCCCTTAGGTACCCTAACTGAAACATCCTTTCCCCGGACATACATTCTTGGTAACTCACCTGATCTTTCCTCCCTTGTAGGTAATCGTGTATCCAATGCAGCAATCTTCTTGTTATTCTCATATCGGCTAATTCATATATGATTACTTCCCCATTGGCATTATCAAATGCTCTTTGCAGATCAACAAAAACTCTACAGTTGTCATCCATATTAGACAAGTACTTTGAGACAATTTGCAGTACTTTTGCACTTGATAAAACCAAAGAGGTTATTGGACATGTTTTGGGTCTCCTAGTACAGTTGGGTTTGTTCTTGACTCTCAATTGAGAATTCCAAATTCGAATCCCATGCAGGACAGAAATGATAAATGATTGGGTATGTTTCTTATCACCTAATAAACCTGTTCACCTAGCAGTAAATAAGTATCCAGGAGTTAGTCAGCTTGTTGTGGGGCTGCATCCTGGGAAGGGTCAGTAATTCGACCATGGGGGTGGGGGGGCAGGAGACCTCGATATAAGCCTACTGTATTATGTACTGTATGTGTAACCTGGCTAGACAATGGCTGCTTGTCCCCCCTGACACAATGAATTATGTTATCTCCTACAAAGTAGAGTAACCTATTTAACAATACCCTTTCCATTATTTTACAAAAGCAGGATGTTAAGAATACAGGCCTGTAACTGCCATATTACTTTGGTATAAGAATGATCACAGCCTCATGTTAAACAAATCAAGTAAGGGACTAGGTTTTATACCTGCTAAATAATTAAGAATGTCTTACGTTACTCTATCCTTTCCTGGAGCAGTAGAGCTGCTACTTTTAACATCATTAAATACCTCATTGTAAGTTATCGCAATGAATGTTGCTGATCCTGTATTTAAAGCGCATTAAGTTACTCCTTTTCTAATATAGTCCCATGAATCAGTGATCTTTCTCGTGTCTTCAGATAAGGACTCCATACTAGCAGCACTGGTCCATTTATCTACTAATTCATTAGCAACCTTTCCTGGATCTGGGTGTGCTATGAATTTTTTCTTACAACCCCTGATTTTCATTACTTCGCTCCATATGTCTTTAAGGTTCTTAGCATTACCAATGGACTGAGCAACTCTTGCCAGTATCTGTCTTGTGCCTCCTTCCTTACCTGACTGCATTCCCTAGCCTCTTCCAACATTGTACTGTATTTTTTTCATTTTCCTTCGTTCCATTTTTTAACCATTCTTTGTGTGTGCTTCATAATATTTTCTCTCACCCCTTGTCTTGCTGAATATTAGAATATTTAAATTTCTTAGATCAATGTCTCTCTTTTCCTCTGTACTAATTTCTCTATGTTCTTAACCATGTCTGCACCACCCATGGTTGCTCTCTCAGTAGTAAGGCCCTCACACCCAGGATGGGTGCGATGATTTTTTCCAATTTGGTGTTTAATTACTTGAGGCCTGTTGAAGCAAATGTGAGCCTTGTGAATGCCTAGGACTTGTAATCTTACATGGCACCTTAAATCGTCCCTCATTGACTCCCACAATGGGGTCAGAAATGGGACAATCATCCCTCATTGACATGCACAGTTGAAGGGTTAAGTAGGCCTGTTATTATTTAGAGCTTTAGAATACCCATAGACCTTGAATACAAAAAAAGAGAGTATGTGTTTATAAAGTTACTGTTCATAAACCTAATGTTGTGCTTGGTGTCATGCAGAGAAGCAGTGAGTGTGCCTGTGTTGGCCAATGGCAACATCCAGTATCAGGCAGACGTGGAACGCTGCCTTTCTGACACAGGTGCTGATGGTGTTATGAGTGCAGAAGGAAACCTGCACAACCCGGCCCTCTTCACTGGCACTCACCCACCTGTCTGGCATGTTGCTCTTGAGTACCTTCAGCTGGCCATACAGTACCCCTGTCCAACAAGTTATGCTCGAGGACATGTCTTCAAGCTCCTTCATCACTGGTATGAAGATATTTTATCTTTTGACTACAGTTAATTGTTCATTTTCTTTATAAGACTGAACTTTATTCTATATGTCAAATTAACACACACACACACATGCCTACAGAACTGCCTTCAGGAACCTGTGTAAGGAATTATTCAGAACCTTGTATACCACATATGTAAGACCAGTCCTGGAGTATACGGCCACCAGCATGGAGCCCATATCTTGTCAAGCACAAGGCGAAGCTAGAAAAAGTTCAGAGGTATGCCACTAGGCTAGTCCCAGAGCTAAGAGGCATGAGTTTCGAGGAAAGGATGCGGGAAATGCTCCTCAGGACACTGGAAGACAGACAAGTAAGGGGAGACATGATCACTACCTACAAAATTCTCAGAGGAATTAACAGGGTGGATAAAGATAAACTGTTTAACACGGGTGGTATGTGAACAAGGGGACACAGGTGGAAACTGAGTACCCAAATGAGCCACAGGGACATTAGAAAGAACTTTTTCAGTGTCAGAATATTTAACAGGTGGAATGCATTAGGCAGAGATATGGTGGAGGCTGACTCCATACACAGTTTTAAATGTAGATATGATAGAGCTTAATAGGCTCAGGAATCTGTACACCAGTTGATTGACAATTGAGAGGTGGGACCAAAGATCCATTCCATTATTATTATTGGAAATTATTATTATTATTGGGTATTGGATCCATTACCGACCACAATATGCTTATGGGATCAAGTACCGCCCACAGGATAGGTATGGAGTCCACTACTGCCCTCAGGATGGGTTTGGGGACCGCTATCACCCACAGGATGGATAAGGGGTCCACTACCGCCCTCAGGGTGGGTGTGGGGTCCACTACTGGCTACCGGATGGCTATGGGGTCCACTACTGCCCACAGGGTGGGTATGAGGGGGCCACTGCTACCCACAGTATGGGTATGAGGTCACTATACCACCCACAGGATGGGCATGGGGTGCACTACCACCCACAGGATAAGTATGGGGTCCACTACCACCCACAGGATAAGTATGGGGTCCACTACCACCTACATGATGGGTATGGGGTCTACTATTACCTACAAGATGGGAATGGGGTCCACTACCACCCACAGGATGGGTATGGTGATGACTACCACCCACAGGGTGGGTATGGGGTCCACTACCACCCACAGGATGGGTATGGGGTCCACTACCATCCACTAAATGGGTATGGAGTATTGTAAATGGAAATGCGAATTGTAAATGCACCTATAACAGAAACATAATTGAAACTGCTTTGATACAGATCACAAAAGAAAGTAATTTGAACATTAGCAGTGGTCTATATAACTTAGATCCATTTTTAATAGGTCAATTAAAGGGCAATTTAAGTAGGATCATTGGAACACATTTGTCTCACTAATTCATTGTAAATATTTACAATTTTATGCTATAATTATCTATGTGTGGGCCTGTGTGTGGTTGCTGCATCAGATGGGCCAATAGGCCCTCTGCAGTGTACACGTATTGTACCTCACCTCACTCCACCATTCTCTCCTGCCTATATATGTCCAGTACTCGACCTGTAAAACCACTCCTTCTGAAGATGTATTAATATACGAAAGTACTTAAGGAAATTCCTCTTTAAATTTTCCTCCGTGGTATGACACTGTCGCATTTTTAATCACATGTTTATTTTCCTGATATACACACACACACATTATATATATATATATATATATATATATATATATATATATATATATATATATATATATATATATATATATGTTATATATATATATATATATATATATATATATATATATGCGAACAAGCCTGAATGGTCCCCAGGACAATATGCAACTGAAAACTCACACCCCAGAAGTGACTCGAACCCATACTCCCAGAAGCAACGCAACTGGTATGTACAAGACGCCTTAATCCACTTGACCATCACGACCGGACATAATGAGGTGATAGCCTAAGCTATTTGAACCACCCCACCGCCGGCACTCGGATAGTAATCTTGGGCATAGCATTTTACCAAATCACCTCATTCTTTGGGGCACACGTGAGGAACACAAATGCGAACAAGCCTGAATGGTCCCCAGGACAATATGCAACTGAAAACTCACACCCCAGAAGTGACTCGAACCCATACTCCCAGAAGCAACGCAACTGGTATGTACAAGACGCCTTAATCCACTTGACCATCATATATATATATATATATATATATATATATATATATATATATATATATATATATATATATATATATATATATATATATATATATATATATATATATATATATATTTATAGAAGTGTTTGTAGAAAGCCTATTGGTCCATATTTCTTGATGCTTCTATATTGGAGCGGAGTCTTGAGGTGGGTAGAATATAGTTGTGCAATAATTGGCTGTTGATTGCTGGTGTTGACTTCTTGATGTGTAGTGCCTCGCAAACGTCAAGCCGCCTGCTATCGCTGTATCTATCGATGATTTCTGTGTTGTTTACTAGGATTTCTCTGGCGATGGTTTGGTTATGGGAAGTAACCATAACCTAGTAAACAACACAGAAATCATCGATAGATACAGCGATAGCAGGCGGCTTGACGTTTGCGAGGCACTACACATCAAGAAGTCAACACCAGCAATCAACAGCCAATTATTGCACAACTATATTCTACCCACCTCAAGACTCCGCTCCAATATAGAAGCATCAAGAAATATATATATATATATATATATATATATATATATATATATATATATATATATATATATATATATATATATATATATATATATATATATATAATATATATATATACACACACACACACACACACACACATAAGTATATGGAGCACCACTTGGCAAATGGAATTTAATGTTAATAAATGTCATGTTATGGAATGTGGAATAGGAGAACATAGACCCCACACAACCTATATATTATGTGAGAAATCTTTAAAGAATTCTGATAAAGAAAGAGATCTAGGAGTGGTTCTAGATAGAAAACTATCACCTGAGGACCACATTAAGAATATTGTGCAAGGAGCCTATGCAATGCTTTCTAACTTCAGAATTGCATTTAAATACATGGATGGCGATATACTAAAGAAATTGTTCATGACTTTTGTTAGGCCAAAGCTAGAATGTGCAGCTGTTGTGTGGTGCCCATATCTTAAGAAGCACATCAACAAACTGGAAAAGGTGCAAAGACATGCTACTAAGTGGCTCCCAGAACTGAAGGGCAAGAGCTACGAGGAGAGGTTAGAAGCATTAAATATGCCAAAACTAGAAGACAGAAGAAAAAGAGGTGATATGATCACTACGTACAAAATAGTAACAGGAATTGATAAAATCGACAGGGAAGACTTCCTGAGACCTGGAACTTCAAGAACAAGAGGCCATAGATTTAAACTAGCTAAACACAGATGCCGAAGAAATATAAGAAAATTCACCTTCGCAAATAGAGTGGTAGACGGTTGGAACAAGTTAAGTGAGAAGGTGGTGGAGGCCAAGACCGTCAGTAGTTTCAAAGCGTTATATGACAAAGAGTGCTGGGAAGACGGGTCACCACGAGCGTAGCTCTCATCCTGTAACTACACTTAGGTAATTACACTTAGGTAATTACACACACACATGGCGATATACTAAAGAAATTGTTCATGACTTTTGTTAGGCCAAAGCTAGAATATGCAGCTGTTGTGTGGTGCCCATATCTTAAGAAGCACATCAACAAACTGGAAAAGGTGCAAAGACATGCTACTAAGTGGCTCCCAGAACTGAAGGGCAAGAGCTACGAGGAGAGGTTAGAAGCATTAAATATGCCAAAACTAGAAGACAGAAGAAAAAGAGGTGATATGATCACTACGTACAAAATAGTAACAGGAATTGATAAAATCGACAGGGAAGACTTCCTGAGACCTGGAACTTCAAGAACAAGAGGTCATAGATTTAAACTAGCTAAACACAGATGCCGAAGAAATATAAGAAAATTCACCTTCGCAAATAGAGTGGTAGACGGTTGGAACAAGTTAAGTGAGAAGGTGGTGGAGGCCAAGACCGTCAGTAGTTTCAAAGCGTTATATGACAAAGAGTGCTGGGAAGACGGGACACCACGAGCGTAGCTCTCATCCTGTAACTACACTTAGGTAATTACACTTAGGTAATTACACACACACACACACCTGCATTATTATTATTTGATTATTATAGTACAGTAATGATAATGTATGTCATGTCAGTATTTTCTCATTTACCTACAGTCTGAGTTTGTGTGAAAACTTTGACCTCCGCTACCGACTTTCCAAGACGTCTACGGCAGAAGAGATGGTGGCTGTAGTGGAGGATCTCAAGGCCCGGATGACTCCCTATAGCACTGGGGAGAAGGCTTGGACTCCAGACCCAGGTAGTGAGCAGTCACGTCTGCCTATGCCTCCTTGGCTGTGTCAGCCCTATGTTCGCATCCCTCCAGAGGAACACCTTAAAAAAATCCAGGAAAGTGAGCGACGTGTTCAAGAAAAACAACAGCAACAGCAAGAGAAAGCAGTAACAGACAAAGAAGATGGGTAGGCACTTTTTCTCTCCTCTGTATCTGTCTCTATTTTATATATATAATGCAACTTTCTAAATCTAGTCTTTTGAGGTGTTGATAAAAATCACTTGGCTGCTACATCCAAGCTTTATCAAACTCATTTCACTACATATCTGAAATAACACAAAGCAATAAAAATTTCAGAGAGAATTGTCATTTCCTCTGAAATAACAATTCAGAGGGAATGACAATTATTTTAAGTGCAACATTAGATAACAAAAGCTTGTCATTCACACAAAACATAGCACACTTGGCATTTGTAGACAGATATTCTGGGAAGAGAAAGATTATTATGCAGTTATCCCCCCATCTGAAAAATGTCCAAATATACTTTAGGATGGAAAAAAGTCATTTTGGATCTACATGCAGATATTTCCATCTAAACACGTGCAAAACATCACTCGAGGGAAGAAAATACTATGCCCTCAGCTGTCCAGACTTTCATGTGTAAGACACAGAACGCTACACAAAAAGTGGCAAACAAGAAAAAAGAAAGTCAAATATTTTTTAGACCCAGAAGATGTTCCCTCTGTTCCAAAGGTGGAACAGAGGGAATGTATAGTACTGGAACTAGTTGAAAGAACCATTTGCATACCAGAGTCACAGGTAAAATTTCACCCCATAGCAGAGCTACAGTTATGAGAGGCAACAATACTATACAATCAGTACTGTCAGAACATATCTTATATCTGGTCTGATAATCTGATATGTATAACAGACTTGCCTGAAAAATCTCCCAGTCAAAATACTGTACACTGTAACCTCATCATCTTTACCAATATACAAGGAATAAAAATGAAGTACTATTCAGGAATGGCCTCCTCACAGAGGTAAATGCAGTATTTGGAGCTTTCATAGAAACCTATGGAGGCATATTCATTTACAGTGAGAACTGGATACCAGAATATAATCTATATTAATAAGCCGAGCGAACTGCACACTGGACTTGTGATCCTGTGGTCCTGGGTTCGATCCCAGGCGCTGGCGAGAAACAATGGGCAGAGTTTCTTTCACCCTATGCCCCTGTTACCTAGCAATAAAATAGGTCAGCTGTCACGGGCTGCTTCCTGGAGGTGGAGGCCTGGTCGAGGACCAGGCTGATCCGGTCAGCCGGGTCCTCGACCAGTGTTGACCCGGTCTACAGAAAACCAGTGTTGAATGTAATGAAACGCCATTTTCTGGATGAGTCCCTGAGGCTCCCCGTTATCCCACCCTCCCTCCAGTCTCCGGTATTTTTTGTGTGTTTTGACATCCAGCTTAAGAACTAGTTTTGGGTAGCCGGTACGAGGTATCTGGGGCTCCCCCTTCCCCCTCCCTTGGAGGGAGGGAGGTTGCACAGACGGCAGCGCAGCAACATGATGATGTCATGCTCGTCTGCTAATTTTCGTTTGGGGAGTTCTGTCCACTTGTTCGACTTTCGGTAGCAATAATTTTACCAGAATAGGAGTTTGTTTTGGGGCGCCTACCTTTCTGGGTGCCTATTCTGGTCGATGGCAAACATAGAATGCTCCCAACCACAGGGGGGGGTTTCTATACGCCATTGCTCCTCGTGCCTCTTCTGAGGGGACCAGGTTCTGGCTCGTGGTCCTCGTAGGCAAGAACTCCAAGCACATTGACTGATGCCAGAAAGTTATACACATCCATTCAGCCTGGATAGCTCCGGGGAGCCTCCGGGACTCACCTAGAAAGTGGCATTTCATTACATTCAACGCTGGTTTTTGGCTTGGTAGGTCTCAAAGTTGAAATTCCTGTTAAAGAGATAATTGAAGTTGAAAGATATTGACAATGAATATGGAGTAGTTCTAATTAATGAGTTTTCTTGTATGTTTTAATAAACACTGCTTGGCATTTGTACTAGAATATGTAAAAGTTGTAGGTCAATATGTGTTGAAATGAAGTAAAAAAAAAACACCCAAAAAACAAAATATAGGGATATATTAGGGATAATTGTAAAACAGACACTGGGTCCCTCAACTGTATAACAGTAGGTTAGACATATATATATGAATGAAATTGGGTGGATATAAATAGGAGCTGCCTCAAATGAGCCAATAGGCCTTCTGCAGTTACCTTCATTCCTATGTTCTTATAACGAAACATATATATTGCAGTAACTTTATTGCCCATATATAAGTAATAAGGTCCTCATCTGGTCCTCGTTCATCAATACAACCTAAATAGAGAAAGAGAATAGAGTTTGAAATCTGTAAATAAATCGGCCAAAAAAGATATAAAAATCACAATTTTTGCCACCTATGGTTGAGTAACATCTTGACCAATTTCGTTCCAACTTCACATGCTTAGTGCCGGATATGCATTCTCCAAGATGTTAAGGTAACAAGAAAATCCGCATAGAAACAAAGGAGAGAGAGATAAAAAAACACCCAAAAAAGGGGGGTTGTTAACTTTTCGTACAAAGGGACATAAGAAATATTGCCATTGGGCAATGTATCTATATGATATACTGTATAATAAAATACAGCATAATAACATACTAGCTCATTATTATGTGTGAAATCTGGTTATCCAGGTGGCACCAGTTGTATATCCAATTTGTAGACCTTCCTTTCTACTACTTGTCTTGTTTGTGAATTAGACAGGTGATTGCATCTCTTTATCCCTGATTGCCAGTAAATAGGAGGTGTTATGGTTATTATCAGTACCGCTTGCTGTCAGTCGCGTACACATTTATTTTTAAAAAATTCGGAAAAATCCATTTCTTAACATATTGGGATGAAATTTTCACGATGCTATTGCCAAATAACAGGAGATTTGTTTACAAATTTTCACTATTTTTCATACTTGGAAAAATACTCCTCATGCACCGAGCCCCTTAAACTACTGGCACAGCCTCAAAACATTCAAATATTAAGAGATACTGTATCCCATAACATTCATATGGAAAATGCTAGAATGTCAGGTTCCAAACCTACACAATTAGAGAAAATAGTGTAAACATCAGATGTCCATGGTTCTTCAAACTCCTATCAATAAGTATAAGAAATGTCAATGGAACAATTGTGAAAGCTTTCAAGAGTAAATCTAACAATTTTTGGCTGAGGAGTCTGGATGAGACTGAGATGGTTATGTGGGAATACAAGCCACAGGCAAGTACATTTATTACTGAATAAAATGTTTTCTGTTAATGTCTGCTGTGCATTTTAATTATATTTTGTTGTAATAATATTTTTATTTTAACAGGGAATGTAGCGGAGGGAGTGAGCTAAGCAAACGACCAATGGTAGATGAATCTGAGGAGGTGGATTTGTCCAAAAAGAAGAAGAAAAAGATGGCAAGAAATCCAAGAAAATCATTTGAGCCAGTTGACCCATATGAGAAGTGTGGGTGCAAAAACCCAAAGGTGAGCTTATATAGTCCCATTACGAACTCAACGACACATTGTGTATTGAATATACTGAACTATTATTGCGTCAGCATGTATAAACTATAAAAATAATGATATAAGATAATTATTTTAAGGTATGCCCAAAATGCTTTGCATACTTGTTGCTTATAAGTTATAATGCATATTTAAAAATTGATTAAGCATTGTATCATCGTCATCTGTGTACAATGGTGCCTCGATTTATGATGCTAATCCGTTCCCAGAGACGGATCGTAAGTCGAAGTATTGTAAGTCGAAGAGATTTTTCCCATAAGAAATAAAGGGAATTGAATTAATTCGTTCCCCACCCTCCAAAATATTAACATACAAATACATTTTATACTGAATACAATGTTTTTTTCTAACTACAATACAGTACCTAAGTGTCTCTTACCTTTATGGAGGGCTCTTGATGGCGTATGGAAGATGGTGATGAAGGGGGAGGAGGAGAGTTGTTACTGTTTGGAAGGGGAGTCCCCCTCCATTATCACATCAGGTAGTGATGTTTTCTCTGGAGTACTCTCTCTCCTATGTTTTGCCTGAATACCACTAGGACCTGGTTGTGGTTCAGTGCTTGTTTGTCTCACTACAAATTTGTCAAGAGACATTTGTTTTTCCCTTCGTTTTAACATTTGTCTGTAATGATGCATCACAGTGTCATTGAATAGGTTAAGGCAACGACCTACTGCAGCTTGATTTGGGTGAGTCGTTTCAGCAAAGGTTTGCAATTCTTCCCATGCTGCACACATTTTCTTAATTGTTGAAGAAGAGACATTCTGTACTCTTGTTTCTGCTCTATGGTCATCCTTACATGGGTTTTCATATGTTGAGTCTTACCACTGACTTAACTGGGACTCATGGCATGATATAATAATAATTACTTTAATGTTCAAAATGCAAAAAATCACCACAAAAGCAGAATTTCTTATAGGTGCGATCGTCACTAAGCGGGCAGCTGTAGTAAACTGAGGCAGATCGGCCGCATGACCGGGAACCATGCGCTCGGTCGACCCGAACATGTACTGTAACCCTGCAATTATCCGGGATTCAAACATCCGGAAAACGCCCTTATACGGACAAAATCGTGATCGGATAAAGTTCTCACAATATCCGGCCAATATGGCCACAGGAACTGGATAAAAGCTGGTTTGGCCGGATGAAAATTCGGCCATACCGTATTAATCCCGTCTGTGGCTCTAGACGCATGGTGGAGGAGGGGGGTTGGGTGGGTGGGTGGTGTTGGGAGGGTGGAAGGGGTGCATCGGGAGGGGACCACCTGGGTACAGGAATTACCATTAATTTTAGAACAATTAATCATAGCCAAAAACAAATTAAATAAGTACTAGTAATTATGTAATAACAAATAAATAAGTTTCCTAAAAGCATTGTGCACAGGCTGAAGTTTCCTTCAAAAATATTGTGAATTTTTTTCCTCCTGGCGGCCTATGTAACGCGCTATAGCTGCCCCAAGTGGACCCGTCTAACACTGGTCGACCCATGTGCGTCCGTCCCTCGTGTTATACACAGTGCTGCGCCATTAGTGAAATATTTTTTTAAATAACTTTTTTATTTTCATAGTAACTTTGAACATTTTTGGCCAAGACTATGTCTGGTAGCAGCATCAATCGTTCTGGAGGTGTTAACACTTTCGCGCTCTCCGCAAAGGTCACTCAGCCAACCGAATGTGCGCGCTGCGTTTTTATCGCTTAAGCGTAAAAACAAAAATGTGTATACTCTTTTTACTCTCCTGACCTTAGTTCTCATGCTACGTATTTCATTTTGGCACCAACGTGTTTGCAATAAAATTCTCTAGAAGAACATTAGTAAAATAAGTCACGAAACATATAGGGATACCAGCACCAAATAAATAACTACGTAGATGACTCGCCGTGAGCGCCCATCAGCAACAAAATGTTTTTACTCTTGGGATTATAATCACCTCCACACTTGTTCTACAGCGTTAATTTTGGTATCAATGGACTCGCAATGAAATTCCCAACACGGTGATATGAATATAAGCGTTGAATATTGATGCAGCCCACCCGCAAGAGTGTGGGAAGTGGTGAAATTGTTACCCGGTATCGGTGACGGGACGACGCACAGCGCTTTGAAAGTTTATACTTATTTCACTCTCATGACATTAATTTTCTATGTACGTCATTCATTTTCATGTCAATGTATTCGCAATAGAATGTTCTATGTGCCCATAGGTAAAAAATATCAACAAAGCGTAAGTTAGAATAGCGACAAATATAAAACAACGCTGGAACATATCAGTGAGCGTCAAACACACACGAAATATTTTTACTTTTGTTATGTTTGTCAAGATTATACTTGTTGCACACAGTTATTTTTGGTTGTATATTGATCGGAATAAAATTCCCTAAACAGACATATGCATATAATACATGATATGGGGGAAGAATTACCAGTATAAACGGCTAAAGTCACCCACCTGCAACCCGTTTGGGACAAAATACCATTTGATCGACGTTATCCACACCTTTCATGAACTTATTGTACCATGCAGCCTAGTGGTGAGAAAGAGAGCCTCATAGCGCGCAGTTTGAAACAAACCCAAAGTAAATCGGATAAAAATTGAATTTTATACAAATATTTTAAAAGTTGACATAACTTTATGTCCACTATGCGTTTACGTTAGACGAAACCGAACGCGCCGGCGCGTCCAGATAGCGCGAAAGTGTTAAGAGGAAGAAAGTTGTCCTAACAATTAAAGACAAGTCACTGTTATACACCTCAACCAGTGCGGCCTCACAGTGTTACGCCATTAGTGAAATATTTTTTTAAATAACTTTCTTAATTTTCATAGTAATTTTGAACATTTTTGGCCAAGAATATGTCTGGTAGCAGCATCAATCGTTCTGGAAGTGTTAAGAGGAAGAAGATTGTCCTAGCAATTAAAGACAAGTTATGTGTTGTTCAACCAGTGAGGCGTCACAGGCAGCCAAGTGCCTTCAACAAGTGAGGCGCCACAGGCAAGCCAAGCTCCTTCAACAAGTGAGGCATTACAGGCAAGCCAAGCGCTTTCAAAAAGTGGCGCGCCACAGGCAAGCCAAGTGCCTTCAACAAGTGAGGCGCAAGCAAGCGCCTTTAACAAGTGAGGCGTCACAGGCAAGCCAAGCGCCTTCAACAAATGAGGACATGCAAGCGCTTCAACAAGTGAGGTGCAAGCAAACGCCTTCAACAACCGAGGCCTCACAGGCAACCCAAATGCCCTCAACCAGTGAGGCTTCAGCAGCTGGCAGTCAAAACTAACTTAGCTTAATGAACTGTACAGTAATTTTAAGTGTTAATTTTAGTGTTGTGTTAGTATAGGTTACGTAAATTGTTAAGAATTTTTAACTTCAAGATGTGTGGCATCAATCAAGAAGACGAACACCAACAAGGTAAGTTGAGGTTTCTAGTTGAATATTTAATAATTGTATGTGGCAAGGCAATTCAAATTATGTTGTTTGTGTTATAAAAATAGTTGGAAATGGTCACTTTTGGACTCATAGGTGAAAAAGTACCATTATCCGAAAAATGTGATAATCCGGCTGGGGGTCCTTCCCATATAGTCCGGATGATCGAGTGGAGACAGTACCAACAAATATCGGAAGTCGACTACACCATCGGATGTCGAGTCGCATTTTTCGATGAAATTTACATCGTAATTCGAAATTATCGTAAGTAGGGGCAATCGTATGTCGAGGTGCCACTGTATTTTTAAATCAATTTTAAATAATAAAAATAATAATAATATTTATAATAATTACTGTACTATTATTATTTTTATTATTATCATCATTTGATTAGAGTGCATTAGGTTGGGGTGTGGTACTGCTCTGGTACTGGGAACTACACATAAGGGGCATAACTGGCCGACCCTTCACAGTGTTCAAGAGAGAACGGGATAAGCACCTCCAAAGGATCCCTGATCAACCAGGCTGTGACTCATATGTCAGGCTGCGAGCAGCCGCATCCAACAGCCTGGTTGATCAGTCCAGCAACCAGGAGGCCTGGTCGACGACCGGGCTGCGGGGACGGTAAGCCCCGGAAGCACCGCAAGGTAACCTCAAGGTAAGGTAGGTGGTGATGGTACAGGCTGCAGTGTGGGTGATTGGACAGGCTGTGGTGTGGTGATAGGACAGGCTGTGGTGTGGTGATAGGACAGGCTGTGGTCTGGTGATGGGACAGGCTGTGGTGTGGTGATAGGACAGGCTGTGGTGTGGTGATAGGACAGGCTGTGGTGTGGTGATAGGACAGGCTGTGGTGTGGTGATAGGACAGGCTGTGGTGTGGTGATAGGACAGGCTGTGGTGTGGTGATAGGACAGGCTGTGGTGTGGTGATAGGACAGGCTGTGGTGTGGTGATAGGACAGGCTGTGGTGTGGTGATAGGACAGGCTGTGGTGTGGTGATAGGACAGGCTGTGGTGTGGTGATAGGACAGGCTGTGGTGTGGTGATGGGACAGGCTGTGGTGTGGTGATGGGACAGGCTGTGGTCTGGTGATGGGACAGGCTGTGGTGTAGTGATGGGACAGGCTGTGGTGTGGTGATGGGACAGGCTGTGGTGTGGTGATGGGACAGGCTGTGGTGTAGTGATGGGACAGGCTGTGGTCTGGTGATGGGACAGGCTGTGGTGTAGTGATGGGACAGGCTGTGGTCTGGTGATGGGACAGGCTGTGGTCTGGTGATGGGACAGGCTGTGGTGTGGTGATGGGACAGGCTGTGGTGTGGTGATGGGACAGGCTGTGGTGTAGTGATGGGACAGGCTGTGGTCTGGTGATGGGACAGACTGTGGTCTGGTGATGGGACAGGCTGTGGTGTGGTGATGGGACAGGCTGTGGTGTGGTGATGGGACAGGCTGTGGTGTGGTGATGGGACTGGCTGTGGTGAGGGTACAGGCTGTGGTGTGGTGATGGGACAGGGTAAAATGTGTTAACTGATCAGGGTAGGGAGTCGTGATCGAACATGG